CTTGGTCTGACTGTTTGCATTAGATGTCTTTTGATCTCCTTTTTGGGTGGTGTTACTGTAATTGCTATTTGCATTGCCTATAGCATGGTTCAGGGCACACAGAAAGCCTGCTTTGGTTGCAGCCATCAGAGAAAACACATTCACTTGCAGGGAGTGCATGTGTTGAGGAGACAATGTGGCTCAAGAAAGAATTTCATTTTCAAGTCACTTTGGAAAAAAACAAGAGGTCGTGATGTGAAGAGAGGAAGCTGCATTTGGGTTTGCAGAGTGTGGGTGATAAAATCTAGTTCCAGTGAAGTTTCTAATCATTAGATGTGCTCTGAAAATTTTTGAAAAATTTTGCAGAAGTGAGGTTCCAAACTTAAATGAGGAGTCAAAAGACAGTCAGCACTGCAGCTTATATGGCAATTATCTTTTCTAGATATGTTGTGAGACAGAAGTAGAGAGTACAGTGATAGCACTGTGGTGGGTTGACTCTGGTTGGACACCAGCTGCCTACTAAACCTGCTCTGTCACTGCCCTCCTCAGCTGGCAGGGGAGAGAAAATAAAATTAAATTCTCATGGGTCAAGATAAGTACAGGGAGAGATCACCCACTGGTTACCATCACAGACAGGGAAATTAAACTAATTTATTTTAATTAGTTAAATTTATTACCAATTAAACAGAGCAGGATAATGAGAAGTAAAGCATGATTATGACCATCTGGGATTTTCCACTCTCACTTTTCCTCACAACGCTGTAATTATTTCATTTAAACTCCCCCACTACGAAAATATGGCCACACAAACCAAATACAGGTCCATATATTCTTTTTATCATCTCATTAGATCAGCAGCAAGAGCTTGTGGAGGAAGAATTGGGATGGCCAGGATAGCACTAATGAAAGTAATTTGAGCTATGATGTCCCAAAAGAAAAGTTTGCAAGAGGCACCAGCCCAGCTCAGCTGGTCACAGCCTGATAACAAAGTGAGAGTTCACCTTCACATAATAGTGATTCATCAGCTTCTCACCATTGTGAGCTGCAACATTGCCTGGTGTCTTAATTTCTACTGTGTAACTGAACCTCTAATACTGAAAAGAGAAATTAAGAAATGCTAACAATGCTCCTGGACCCTGAACTAAATAGTACCAAAGGCTTTGCCTCCCATTTTCAATGCCTTCACTTGTTGCAGTAGGTGCTATTGCTCAACACTGTAAAGTTCCTCCTATTACTATGAATTTTGGAGAGCAGTGTAACAGTGCTGTTGTGGATTGTGTAACACAGCTGCAACTGCTTCTTCTTAACACTTTCAAACACTTTCAACTGGGACGATGTCAAAAATGTCAATGGAACTTCCTCTGTCGTCCTCTTCCCCCTCGTTCCCCCTTGTTGTGGGTCCATCTGTAAGGACAGCTAAAACAAGAAGTGTGTGTGGCTTCAGTTCCCTGTAAATACCTCCTAAATGATGTGATGACATGCAGTGATGTCCCCAGTGATGACAAGGTGGCTAATGACTACAATTTTATTGTATATGTCATTTTTCAGAGGTTCACTTTCAAAAAACAACTCTGCTGGAATATCTAAAGATTTCACTTGTTAGTTTTCAAAGTAGATTTTTTTAGTTCCTGTGTTCATAGGTACAGGAGAATTCCTGGAGAATTAAAAAATATTGTACTAACAAAAAGAACACAGTGTTTGTTATTCTTGAGCTGATCTCATGATTTTTGGTTTTCTGATTCATGATTCTGTCATGCTGATGGTAATATGGGTGTCATGTAATGGAAATAAACAGGCCTTCCACTATTTCTCCCTAAGTAGTCCTATTTTTTAAAGTACACAAGTCTTCCATTACTGGTTGTTGGGACTAATCACACAAATAAATTGTAGTTTTATAGGAAAAGAGGGAACTGCTAAGAGTAGCTGTTATTCTTTGGTTTTCCTGAGCCATACCTGTAATGTGGATTCAGTGTTTAGAGGAGATTTCTGTTTAATGTGAAAATTGCAGCATCAGAAAAGAAAGAAAATTCGTTTTGGGCAATGCCATCTCATGTTCTCACTTATTTGTTCCTGAAGGGTTTTGGGTTTTTTTGGGCAATAATGAAGAAAGAGTGACCCTGAATTTTGATGTGAATTTGTAAAGCAGAGAACTGGTACAGTTCTTGCATGACTTCTGCCCTAAGACGAGCAATGTTTCTAAAGGCTGGAACATATTTTGTATACACTTGAGAAGGAAACATAATGGTATTGTTTTCAAATACTCTTTGAATGATGCCTTGTGTTTCTATCCCTGCCTCATGTTTCTCTATCCCCTGCTTCCAGGCCTAGTAAAAAGTTAAACATGATTAAAAGTAGTAGATACCACATCTTTTTCAAATCTCAAAGATTTGGTCTCTTTCAAACCCCAGATGCAAGATTTGTTTCCTGAATATGGGTTTTACAAAAAAAAACCCAAAAAAACAAACTGAAGAAGTGGGAATTAACATGGAAAATGGAAGAAAATGTACAGAATAAAGAGCAAATAAACCTGTTGTAACCACTCACAGAAAGAAGTGAAAATATCCACAGCCAGACTGAGGCTCCATCAAGCTCTCCTCGTCTCAGAAATGTATTTGCAGAAGTTTGGGGGTTTTGTTTTACTCATTGAGCTTTGACTGTATCTACCACCAGCCCATAGACATCCCGTGCTGTGACATGAGATTTGCCTGCCCAGGCTTTCAGTCCTGCCCTGCAGTAGAGAACTTGTGGGACACTTCTATTCAGAACCTTTTGCAGTCTTTGTTTTACTCAGTACATGACCTCAGAGCAATCTTTCAGGTTGTAGATAACTGAGACAGGGAAACTTTGCACAGCTTTTTAAATCTCCGGGAGGAAACATGTTCAAAATCAAGCACACGAGGATGTTTTGCTTGGTCCCAGTTAATTTTTGGATTCCATATATCATCTGATTTTAGTACTCTTTCCCTACCAAACTTGGCCTTTTAACAGGGCAACTTCAGAATTTCCACAGAAACTGACACACTCAAAATTTGTGAATTTTGGAGTTCAGGAAACTGAAGCCCTTTAATTTTTTATGATTTTGTTTTGCCTTGTTTTAAATGAATGCCATTTGGAGTAGTGGATACTTGATAAAGCATGCTGAGCACGTTCAGATCTGATGTGGAAGAATATGTTTGCCAGATTAGTGGGTAAATTTTGTTCAGTCCTGGATTTAATTTTTCTGCTATATTGAGGGGGCTCATAATTCCTTATTCCACATGAAATGCAAGGAAGCTCCTCTTCTGAGGGAAGCTGACATGGTGTGTTATCCCTTCTCTAGTCTCACTCATCATAGCTGTGATGAGCATGCTCTCCCAAAGGCCAGATTAAAAAACGTGGTTCTCACTCTGTGTGCTGGGAACCCACCCACAGACAAGACAGTCTCATCAAAGATATTTTTCTTTCTCTCTCATGACCAGCTGAGTCAGTGCACCTAGTCAGCAGCTGGCAAATATCGTGCCTTACAAACACAAAATGGGCCACTGCAAATCCCATGAGAGAATAAAGCCCATTGGTCACTCGAGTTCTCCTCTAAATTGAGTGTGGAAGTGAGGAGTAAGACTAAGTGGTGTTTATTTCTTCCTCTTTAGTTCTTTCACCCTCTTTAAACTGAAGTTAGCTGTTATAGCGGTTCAGACTAAAAATTTTGGTTTTTCCTTTGCTTGTCTGCAACCATCTTCATCTCCATCATTAATAACAGAGCTTGTTTTCCAGATCTGTTAAAAAAGAAGAGAAACGTTTCAGGAGGGGATTAGCATTGGACATTCTGCATGCAGTAAACTAAAAAGACTGTCTCTAAACCCAAACAATAACTTCTTCCTCACTATTTTTGGAAAACAATTTCTCCAGTTGTGAGCAATGGTATCCCATTAGATCAATGACTCTGCTTGTATGAAATATTTAAAAAAAAATGTCCTGGGCACTGGCCAGAGCATCACAGAGTTCTTTGGGCTCAGAGGTTGGAGACAGTTTCAATTTAAAGATTTGCTGTTTGTTTTCTGTTTCTTTTTAACTTGATTTTCAAGACTTGTAGTTATGCTTTGAGCAAATTCAGTGAGATGTTAATCAGTTCAACAGATCAGGGTCTTTCATATCATGCATCTAGGTTATGAGGTTTTTCAGAGGACAGAAGCGAAATTTAGCTGCTATTATTAATAAACTGATGCAAATGTTTGGAAATTAGTAATTTGAACCATACCATAGCCATTCCAACCTTTCTGTTCTAAGTCAGATCTTATCAGATTTAAGCTATTTTATCTGCATTTTTAACAAGTAGTTTTCATGTTTACTCAAAAATGTTGTGCCATCCTTTCTTGTTAAGAACATTTGTTATGTTGGCACAGCTGTAAGAAGAATATGAAGAGTCTGGGGTACAGACTGGACTGTAGTCTGTGCTCTGGTTTTGATCTTTATGCTCTGGTTAATCTTCTGCAGTTTCCTTTAGTCTTTTTTTCCTACTTCCTCAGTTCATAGCACTTCCAGACCATCACTGCTCCTTGTGCTAGTTATCTTTGGTTTCTAGCTGAAGTTGATTTACACTCAATGTGAATGCTTAGGGCTCATTTGCCCAAGGTAGAAATGGCTCTTCTTTATGGGCATCACGCCTGCTCTCAGTCCTTGTTTATCATAACTATGACAAAACTCTATTTAGTCTCCTCTTGTAAGTTGGGCTCTCCAATCCCTCATGTGCCTCACTGCATCTTTGTATCTGCTCCTGTCTCTCCTTCCACCAAAGTTTTGTGATTCGGTTAGAGACATAATATAGACATTTAGAGCTTTTCTAAAATAACTGTGGCAGAGCTGTAAACAGCCTAACTGACCCTTCATCCCTTAGCTTTGATCTTTAGAACTCTCTTATTTTAATTTGAAAGCCAGGGGTTTATGTTCTGCAGGTGGACAGATTCTTCTCATCTTTTTTACCTGCACCAGGGAACCAGGTGTTCTGACAACATGTGTTGACTGATGTTGTGGATTTTTTCCAGGGAGGCTCAGCTTTTTCTCCAGCATCTATAATTACTACAAGGAGAGCACAGATCCAAGCAGCAGCCCTGGCTGAAGATGTGGGATGTCCTTCATCCACCAGTGAGGAAATTGTAGCCTGCCTTCGCCAGTTGCCTGCTCGTGTCCTCAATGATGCTCAAACTAAGGTACACAGCAAAACATATGCCATTGGCAAGAAATCAAAAAGTTTCTATTCACACAAAGCTGTGAGAAAGCTTAAAAAATAATTTAGTCTGAATCCATGTGAAAGAGGAACTGGACTATTTTTGGTGGAAGGAAGTTGTCCATGACATCCTGCTCTGAGTTATGAATACTCATCATTTCATTCTCCTTTAGACTAAATTCCTTTTACTCTGCTTTAATCATGTCTTCTAAAATAAATCTAAATATTGCTTTTGCCTTCTTTAAGTTCCCTCTTGCCTGCCCCTGGGTATTACTCTAGAGGAGAGTCAAATGTCTTTAACAACAGAACTTATGCAGAAAATGAAGCAGGATGGGATGCCAGTGTTCTGTATTTGGAGTGAGATTCTTGTGAAAGCTGCAGTATAAATAATTCTGGAGATGGATGGATCCTTTACCTACAAATTAAAACATCCACCAGCAATAAATTTTCCAGTGGGGACCAGCATGGAGTCAATCTCTAGTTTAAAACAACATTTTTATGACTATAAGACCATCATTTCTCTTGTCCTCTTCAGTTTGTTTCACCTACTGAGACTGTCAGCAAAATCATTATTTCCTGCCAATAATGAGTTTGCATTTATATTGCCTGGTCACTTCTTCACTTGAAGGAAATCAGATCAGTTGAATTAAGCATTAATAAAAAAGAATTTAAATGGTAAGCTGAATTAACTGCACAATTCTTGCTCTTTTATTTTGCCACCATAGCTGCTAGCTATAAGTGGCCCATTCCAGTACTGGGGTCCAGTGATGGATGGAATTTACCTCCGGGAACCTTTGGCTAAAGCCCTGCAGAGCCCTTGGCTTCGGAAAGTAGATCTGCTCATTGGAAGTGCTCAACAAGATGGTCTCATCAGCAGAGCCAAGGCAATTAAGGTAGGAAGACACTCACTGTTAATGAACTGATGGTCTCACTGTGATTACAATGATGACAATAATCATAAGCAGCCTGGAGAGATGCTTTTTGATTTCTGCAAGTTGTGAATTATTCTCCATAGAAATGTGAAAATGCATTGTAATTCTCCAGCCAGTCTTGGTCAGGATGACTAATGGCATAATTATATGTGTTGATTAACATTTCTGTGGGTGATAGGAGAAGGCAAGAGGCCAGAGGTGATTTAGCATTTATGTTCTACTGTCTTTAAAATCCTATTTATATTTTAATCTCCATAGTATCTCACAAAGAAGAGAGCAACTTAATTATAAATTTCTTCCCTGTGCAGTAGGATTAAGTCATCATTTTGAGGTTTTTTTAGCAACCTTGTCCTCTGTTGTCTCCTAGCAGTACATTTTCTTGTAAAGATAATTCTGATAATGGATAGCTGTAGCAACAAGTGTTATTAGTGGCCTGATATGTGGTCTGAGGTGTCTGGACAGAAACTGGTGAAAACAAACAGAACTGCGTCCATGCTGTACTTTCTGTTGCTATCTTGCAATAACTGTGGATTTCACCTCTTAGAAGGCAGTGAAGTGTCAGTCCCAGCTTCTCTTTGCTGGTAGCCAATAGCACATAGACCAATTTAATTCAGAATTAATGGCCTACCTGAATTAAGTTCATATTACTTGTTTACTCTCTACCAGAACTTTTCTGCTCTTTTTTCATGTCTTTTTCTCTTTTGGAATAAATTTCAAGAGGAAGTCATAGGAGAAAGGCACTGAAGATATAATGTGATGCTGGAGGTCTGCAGATAATGATCCAGACGTTGTGAGAGGGGAATAAACCTCAGTGACCTCATTACAAGTCTTGTGATGAAGAATAGGAAGTGAAATTCTTTCCTTTACCACTGTTTCTGTATATGACAGTTGTTTGCAAAATTGAGATGAAATTCCATGTTGTATTAAAAATCTTGCAACAAATCATGGTGTTGATGGAAGGCACAAGTGCTAAATCCCAGCACTGTCAGATTGAAATGAAAAGAAAAAATACTTACAACTGAGAGTTCAGTAGAAAAATGCCTGTCCAAAAATAAAATCTGAAATATTTTTTTATTTAAAGCTTTGCAGAAAATAAGATTGGAAGGGAACTCAGGATGTTGGTGCAACTCAACCATAAGGAAGGGTCATATCTACAGATGATTTTTTTAAATGCACATTTTCCTCTATTTCCATTTTCCTGTGGCTTCAGGTTTTAGGACTTGAGGGAATATGAATGGTTTGATCAGTCTGTGTTCCTGTCTGGGTTGTTTTCTTGAAGACTTGATGCAAGGTTGAAGTTTTCTGATTTCTCCCTTGTTGACACAGACTATTAATTACTGGGAAACTGTAACACTCTTTTCATCACTGAGTTATTTAAGAATATGCATTCTCCAGGTCCTCAGCAGCATTTCTGTGCTATCCATGACCATGTATGCTTGCAGTCAGTCTGCTGATGAAGTCCTGAATAAGCCACAGACATATTTAGCTACAGTGGCAAAAACTAGTGCAGATGGTGGTTGTTACTTGGAAATCTGTGCCCCATTTCCTCTGTCATAAATGTCATAAGAGATCTTTAATCTGTGCTAGATGTCCTCTCTCCACAATAGGCCATGAAGAAGGATTTGAGGTGCTGTATCCTAATCATCTACATTATTAATTTTAAGGGTTCCACTGAGGTAAATCTCACTTGCACCTCTTAGGAATAGCCAAAGGTGGTTTTACTGCTACACTAAGGAGTGTGGGAAGGCTTAGCTGGTGGACAGAAGCACTGAACTGAACTTGGGGAACCAAGGCATAATTACTAGTTTGCTTTTGACTACACCCAAAGTCTTTCATATGTTCTAAAAAGACAGGGAAAAGAGGGAACCAAAAAGAGGGAACCAAACCTCCCTGGGGTGCAAATCCACCTATGGCTATGTTCCTCCTCTGCAGAGAGAAGATCCATGTATGTATTTCAGTAGACAAACACAGCTAAAAGGTGGTCTGAGGAGTGTATGGAATTGGCAAAGTCCTAATTTCCATCTTCTTTAGTACGGCTGATTTCAGTGTAGTCAGTGTGACAAGTGAGGGGTAAAAACATTTAACCCCTCCTGACTTGCTCCACCAGTTCCTGGGAATAACTGTGCTGGGCAATTTAGTCAAGGACTTGCTCTATTAATCCTGATTTCTCTTAGTACTGATCCTATAAATGGTAAGGACACACTTTTAGCCATTTGGATATAAGCAAGCTTGAGACATGATGCAGATCTTATCACCTTAGAATGAAGTTGCATGCAAGTGTTATAAACTCTTTGCACTCTTCACATAGAAGTGAGAGCAAACACTCTAGACTGCAACCAGACCAGAAGGTGGAAAATCCACCTGTGGGATCTACTGGCCTTGGGTTGCATTGGGTGTCTCTGTACTCCCACTGCAACACTGTGCTTGTGCCTATTAAAGTCTTTTCTATTAAAAATGAAACAGACAGACAGACAGAAGGCACCACTTAACTACTAGCAAAACATTTATGTTCGATTTGCTTACAATTAAAGGCTGAGGTCTCTCAGTGATGTTTGCAGCAGAGAGTATGCCCATGAAATGTCCATTTTATGACATTCACTGAAATGCTTATTCATATGAACTGAGACAGATTCATCACTTCCTGGAGCACTTCCTACTCATTCTCAGTGCAGCCATCACAAGGTTGAAACTAAGTGAGAAACAAAGCAGTTTGTTGAGGGAATGGCAAGTGGTACCATAATGCACTATTATGTGACGTATGGAGTGGTTAAGCCTGAACCCATTCACTGCAATTCCCATGGCAGACCTTCAGGGAATATTAACTTTGAGCAGTCACAGATTAGGGCAGCTGAGCAAAAACCTCTAAAAATGTTGATTTCAATTCCCAACGGGATAAAATTTTATCCCTGTCCTGTATGTGATGCTCAGATGGAAGGACCTAATGGCATTAAATTTATGGAGTCTCTCATGCTGCTCTATGTCTCTGTCTATCTTTATATGCATGGAGGTCAGTATAGTTCAGTCTGTATCCTCCATAGTGCCTGCTGTGTAATGCTGACATTGTAAGAATTTAGTTGAAAGACTAAGGTTATATTTCATGTACAATCCTTAGTACAATCTAGTTGGATGCAGAACCCAATTCCAGGACCTAGGGAAGTGTGTAGATAGAAATCTAGTTTATTTACCTCATATAAGTAAACTGATCTGTGCAGAACAGAACTACTACCCTGCACTTTATTACAGTCAGTTAATTTCTTTATGAAGAAAGGTATTCAGCTATATACAACAGGTGGTAAATATGTGTATATTTATTGTGATGACCAGGGTAGAAGTGTCTCCAGAAATGCCATCAGTGAGGAGAATGGGTTGAACTCTTTACTTCATATTGAAATTAGTCAGAATTCTTGGAATACTCTGCTGAATAGTGGCAGGTCTTTCACCATCTTTTGTGACAGTGCTTGTCAAAAGCCATTTAAGGCCTGAGATCTGTACTGTTAGCATTATTACTGTTTCAATTTTTTGGAAAAGTACATTTTGCCCCTTGGAAGATGTAAATATTTGGTCTACCTACTGCTACGATTTCTTTTTAAGTAAAACACTAGGCCAGTTTCACTCATAGGCTCCATAAGACATCCTGCAGCAACAAGAACAGTAAGCAGTATTTAGCTCATTATTTCGGCAATGTTTATGATGTTTTTGAATCATCAGAAGAGTAGAGAGGGGTGCACCTGCTGCCTTTAATTATTTTCTTAAATACTTTCTTAGAAAACTCCACTATAACTCTGAGGCCAATTCCTAATGCCTCTTTGAAGGTTAGCAAAATGTAAATTATTTTACATGATGTGCAGCTGTTTCTATTAATCTGCTAGCAGCTGTTGTATCTACTGTGATTTGAAAATTGTTCCTTGGTCATATATTTTCTAATGGGAACATATGTTTGACATGGAAAATCGGTTGAATTTAATCAGTTTCTGAGAAGTTAAAATATTTTGTCTTTTAATGTTTAATGACTTTTATTTTGAACATATTGCTTTGGTTTTGGCTATCATGTTTAAGTCAGATGTTTAAATTATACTGTAGCCAAAACAATGTTTGAGAAATTGTTTCAGGTTGTTCTATTTTAGTGCTGTTTGAGGGATGAAAATTCTTACCATCTTACAAATACTAGTTCTGTTTGTCATCCATCTCTGCCTGTTGAGCCCTTTTTCATCTGAATACATCTTGAGGGCCCCACAATATTATAAATTATTGACAAGAAAACTCTGAAAATTGCAGAGTTTTGGGGGCATTTTGAAGGCCCGTACATAGGCTCAGTTAATCATAGAATCATAGAACGTAATCACAGAATACACTGACTTGGAAGGGACCCTTCAAGGTCAGTGAATCCAACTGGTGTCCCTGCACAGGACAGCTCAAGAATCCCACCCTGTGCCTGAGAGCATTGTGCAAATACTTCTTGAAATCAGACAGGCTTGGTGCTGCCCTGTGGAGCCTGTTCCAATGCCCAAGCACCCTCTGGGTGAAGAACCTTTTCCTGACATTTAACCTAAACCTCCCCAGACACAGCTTCAGGCCATTCCCTTGAGTCCTGTCCTCTCCTGATTCCCAAGACTGCTCATAAATCATGGAGAGAGGCTTTGGAATGACATGAGCCAGCTCACTGAGGATTTTCAGCTGGATCCCATCAGGCCCCGTAGATTTGCAGGGATCCAGCTGGAGCAGCAGATCCCACACAAGTTCAGAGCTGACTGGGAGTTGATCATTCTCACAGTCATGGTCTTGCAGCTCAGGACACTGAGCCCTTCATGGTCCATCATCAGTGTTGAAGACAGAGGCAAAGAATGTATTGAACAACATCTCTGCCTTGTCCATGTCCTTGTGGGGGAAGTGATCATATTTATTCTGGAAAGGGTCAGTGTTCATTCTACACTGTCTTTTTTAATTAATATATTTGAAAAAACTTTTTATTGCCCCTCACATTTCTGGCAGCTTCACCTCCACTTGAGCTTTGGCCAAATGAATTCCCTCCCTACAGTGGCAAGCAGCATTTCTGTATTCTTCCCATGTCACCTGACCTTGCTTTAACTGGGCCTACACCTTCCTTTTTTGCCTTATTTCCAAGAGAATACCCCTGTCCTGCCAAGCCAGCCTTCTGCCTCTTCTCCTTGGCTTCTTGCATTAAATACCTAAGGCTGACCACACTGAGTCACATCAAAGGGCTGTTCAGCACAAAATGCTGTTTTCACCAGTGGTTAAAAGAGACAGTTTGTAAGAATAGGGGAAGCAGATCTGATACTTCTGGTAAAAGCTCCCCAGACCTCTAGCACTTTACAGCTCAGGGACTTCCTATGCTGAACTGTTGTTTCTGTATTTAATAACTACTAAATGATTTTGATTTTAAATTTTTTTTAAATTTAAAAACTCATTCCTGAAACTTCATTTTCACCAATTTTTGGCATTTACAAAAACATTTGGCAGGGTGACTGTCACCTTAACCATATGCTCATGTAGTATGATCCATCTCCTTTTCTGTGGTTTTCAACCATAAACTTTATTTGATACTTGACCATTGATGAGACAGTAATGGATCAGTTCCTATGTTACATAATCAATATCCTAAGGCTTTTTCACTTTGAAAAAAGTTTCTCTCTGGTTTAAGTATCCATGACAAGAGTAGAACAAGTTAACAAATCCCTTTTAAAAAGCCAACAAAATGAAAGCACTGCATGAAAGTTCCTTTTATGGGTTGATTTATACACAAGAGATTGGGCTTTGCTCTGCCATGGAAACGTATCTTTTCTTAATCACAACTTCTAACTCCAGTCTTCAAATGAGAGATTCTTAACTAAACAAAGCAGTGCTTCTGCTGTTGGTAGGAACCTGAACTGGTGTATGCCAAAGCTGTGATGGAAAAGTTGCTTTTGAATTCAGAGAACTTGCAGCCAGATCTTCAGTGATCATTTCTATTTCCTCCAGAAGAATATGTGTGTCCTTGCTGGGTTTAAGCTGAATGATTTTTAGCAGGCAAGAGTGCTGTGCAGTTTGATATGTGGCATTTGTGCACATGAAGTGATGTGTCAGTAGTGAGATCCCCATCTTTTTCGAAGCACAGCTGTACTACTAAAGCTAGCACCACATGACTCTTTCACATTGCATGGGCCAAAATCCAGCAAAAGAAGAATCTATTAAAAATACAAGGAAAATTGCCAAGATCTTCTTGGACCTTGGGATACTTGGTAGAGTTTTCAAGTCCCTTAAAGTCACTTATTCAAAATGCACAGACCATTAGAATGCTAAGGACAAACCTCAGCCTCAGCACATGGGAACTTATTTTCCATCTTTCATTTCTGTGAATCTACTGAAAAGTTATTATTCCATCTGTACTTTCTGTATAGGGTTGTGGAAAGACCTTCTAGCAGCATGATGAAAACCAGCTGTGTGCCATCAAAATAATATATTAAGTAAAGTATCTACAGTAACTAAACTGGGCAGACAATGGCCTAGTTTGCATCAGACTGACTGCCCAAAATAATAGAGGTCGTTTAATAGATCTTTTTCTCTGGAGGTCTTATCCAAGTTTCAACCATTATGCACCTGTATAGTGCCCTCATTAGAAAGGATTCGCTGCACAGGAAAGGTCAGGGTGGATACTTTTTTTCATGATGTTGTTTTGTTTCTGAAATTGAAACAAATTTTTTTAAGTGAAGAGTTTCAGTTCACAACGTAAAAAACTTCCTCAAAGAAAGATAAGTTGGAAAATTCCAGCAGTCTTTAGCTTTGGTAAAAATATGTTTGGATACACAGTCTGACATAGAAGGTGGTCAATGTGACATGGGAACTTTGCTCTGGAGAACCTGCCTTTATGTAAGGAAAGGTTTCAGATCACAGATCTCAGGAAAAATGGCATTTTCCTTTTGATTTATCTGAAACGTCCTAAGGGTTATAAAGTTTAAAGATCATGGCCATTCCCTGCATTTGTATTTGGAGGAAAGGAATTTCTCTTCCCGATTTAAGGCAGATATTATTCCAGAAGGGACCTAAATACAGAACTTGGAGCACCAATGCTCCTTTGTAGCTTTTCCCAGAAGAGGCAGAGTGACTTAGCCATGAAATAGCCTACACAACATGTTTGCTTTCTGGAATTTTCAAAGGAAAAGAAAAGTAACTCCCTCTCTCCCCTCTAGTTTTCCTCCATGGAGATCATCGGAAAGGCACTGGGCACACATGCAGTAGAAGACTTTCCCTGGGAATCCCTTCTGTGAGAGCCAGCAGATTTCTGTACTCTTAGAGATCCACTGGTCTTTATGTTTTGGACCTACTAGATTGGGCTTTCTGTACTATGCTGTGTCCAGAGGAAGCCAATATTTCTTGCTAGTGACAGTTTTGGGAAAGCAAAAGTAGGACTGTCCCCTACTCAATCCCCTAGGAATCAGAGATCACAGCAGAGAGGACTTGTTCCAGTAGAGGGAGATCTGAGCCTACATTGTTCCACTAAAAAATTTATCTTTAGGTTTTGTTTCTGAATTCCATGTATGCACTTTTTTCTCAGAAATTTGAAGAAAGCCAAGGGAGAGCCAACAGCAAAACAGCCTTTTATCAGGCTCTGCAAAATTCTCTAGGAGGAGAAGAATCCAACTCGTTAATTGAAGATGCAGCTACGTGGTATTACTCCCTGGAACACTCAACTGATGATTATTCATCCTTTTCCAGGGCGTTGGAAAATGCCACCCGGTAAGAAAGTCATCCTAGTACAACTCTGTGATTGGAGTTGAGCAAGGTTTGTTTTGCTTATCTAAAGTATGCATTTCTATTCTGAAAAACTTGAGAAATTCTTATGCAAATGAACAGAAAAAGGGGAATATGATTTCATTTTCTGTGAGGTTTCCAATGTCATTGGTAAACAGAAATGGAACTGATTTTTATGCCTTGTGAAAAGTTTGACATGTCTTTCTAGAACTGGATATTGAGTTCAGACGACTAATGCTTCTTTTTGCATTTTCATGTCATAGATGCCTGGGTGGCTTGCACACTGTGTATCAGCGGTTCCTTGAGTTGTCATCCCTGTGACAGTAGAATTAATAGTCTGCCTTTATTCCCAGTCCCCTAATTATACAGTCAGATACTTTATTCTGGTGGTCAAATTTGAAAACTTTAATTTCATCAATTACATTTTTAAAAATTATTATTATTATGAAACCTTCAAAATACATTTATTCACAATGTCAGGCATGACTTGAAGCCATTTCCCCTTGCTTGTTACTTTGGAGAAGAAACTAATCTTCACCTCACTATAACCTCCTTTCAGGCAGTTGTAAAGAGCAATAAACTTCCCCCTGAGCCTTTTTTTTCTCCAGGCTAAACAGCCCCAGCTCCTTCAGCTGCTTCTCATCAGACTTGTGCTCCAGAACTTTCCCCACTCCATAGCCATGCTCTGGACAGGCTCCAGCATCTCATGCATGTCAGCAGAGGAATGAGCAACTTGCTTCCAGTAAATGCACTCCCATCCTTTGCATTGAAACACTGCATGGACCTTTGGGAGGTGGAAGTTGAAAACTTCCTGTTTTCTGCCTCTGAGCAAATTCAGGGACCAAATGTTTACGTGGATGTTTCATGTTTCCAGAAATTAATCAAAAAACTATTTCCCCATTCCTGTCTCTGCTTTACGAGCAGCTTTATTGTGAAAACTCCTGCTTTTCTAAATGTGATGTGGCTTACAAATTGGTGACTTGAGTCCTAATGGGCCTGTCCAAGATATCCCAGCTGTGTTCTGAAGTGAGACATCCATAGCCACAAGCTCCTGGTATCTGCACTCTCGGTGTTTTCTGTCCCACTGTGGGCCTCTCCACAACACCTCAGAGACAGGATTTTCCTTTTATTCCTCCATCAGAGCTGCAGAACATTGCTCTAGGAGAGCCTTAGGGAGCAGGAGATGAACAGGAGCCAAGATTCTCCTGGAAACATCTGATTCAAGAAGTGGACAGTAGTTTCTGGGTGGTCCAGGTGTGCCGGTGCACTGAGGCCATGGAGGAAACAAGCCAGAGGGTTGTGGGCTGAGCTTTGTGCCATTTATCAACTCACACATCTTGCCACATTCGTCCTCCTCTGTAGCCTGTCCCAGGGATGGGCCTCCCATCACCATGACATCTGGGACCATTGCCTGCAGTACAAGTAGAAGCACTGTGGTTCGTGGGCATCAAAGCCAGAACTTGCTTTCAGTCTCCTTCCATCACCCCTGTTACCCCTGGGGGGTAATTCTTTAGATCAGTGAGGTTTTAAGCCATAATAAACCACTGCAGGACTTACATTTTAACCATTCTTCTCATCCAGAGACCCCTCTATAAGGAGCTGTTAAAACACAGGGCTGTCACATTTGATCACTGGCATTCAGCCCAGGGCTCAGTGTGGTGCAAACCCTGACTTTTGCAAAGCTGCAAGGGCTGGCCCACCATACATTTCCAGCAGAAATGGGATTCACCAACAGCTCCTCAGGCTCAGCAGCCTCCTGGGTGTAGGGATTACCTGCTCCTTTACAATATGAGGCAAATACCCTGGCAAAGGAAAGAAGTGAATGGCTTATTCCTGGCCAAGCGAAAGGATGATTAGTGAGACCAGAGCATCTGATGATAATACTTTGCTTCAAACACTTTGGAAATTACTTCAGCTACAGCAGATAGTCAAGTGAAACAGTACAGAATGAGAGTCACCTATATCAGCATCACATACATGGTGGAGAAAACGGGATTGGTTCTGGATTTTTGATGTTTGGTTGGTTGGTTTGGATTTGTTTTTCTTCTCAGTTTTGTTTCTTTTTAACGAAAAACTTACTACCAGTATAGATGTGTAAGCCAAGAAAAGTTTTATGTCAGGAATTAACTGCTAAAGTTTTAACAGTATTACAAAGTGTGATAAAGGAACATAAGTGGTTGTTTAAACTACATACATTGTGCATATTTTGTGGTTTTAAAATAATTCTACTTTAAATTTGTTTTAGCTGCAATTTTCTGGTATTTTTACCCAAGTGGAAAATTAGTTTAATTTTCTTTCTCTTTACTTTTTTTTTTTAAACTCTGGAATTCCATGCCTGTAAGAGATGGCTGTTTCATTTTATTGTGGTTATTATGCATTTAGGTTTTTTTCTACTTCCTCAGAAGAGCTGACTTTCCCCCCCTGCCAAGGTACCAACTGAAAATCCATTTTGAATTGTGAAATGTATCTCAAAGCATTTCTTAAGAGCTATTGCTCTCCCCAGACTCCCTAGTTTTCAAAGACCATCTGCTCCTCTAAAGCCCCATGCTGGTAAAGGCATGTGAAGAGCAGTAATTTTTGTTTCATTTGGGTGTTGTCAACCATAACTGTCAAAGAGCCCTGTGGTCAGTCAGCCCAAAGCTTGTGGTCTCACAGATGAGCTTAAAATAAACTCTGCTGAACCAAGACAGCTACCCAAACAGTGCCTTTCATAACCATACCAGTTAAAAATAGCAACATGTTTTTATGTTCTCTGACACTGTTCGTTCTTTCACTAGTTTTGTTTTTTATTTAACCTACCAAGTCTGAAGGAGAAGCTGCTGTTTCAGATTCACTAAACTGAGACTCGAAACCTCCCACTTCCTCAGCAGATATTTTTGTGTGCACTCATCTAGGTAAAGGTGTATAAACGCCCAAAGCATGTGCTGATTCCTCAGGCACATGAAGAATGGGGAGTGGTGATACATGTGCAAATAGCATTGCCTTGAGGAATCATAGTGAGATATGAGATTGCAGTAAGGTCTCCTCTCTCCTACCTGCCCCTCTTGAACTGCTTGTGCTTCTTCCAGCTACTGCTCACCCCACCTTCCAGCTCCTCTTCTTGGGGCAAAGGAAGGTAGGAAGGTTTGGATACATTTGCTTCACTTGTACCTTTTAAACCTGGTGTTAAATTGATAATTTGACTTCCTCATTGGACTCTTATAAGTTAATCTTTCTCTCCAAGACACATTGCACCAGAAATTCCATATTGATGAGCCCTGCAGGTTATCTTCAAAAGTGGTCTCTTATCTCTTCCAGTTCTGGAAACTTTACCCAAGGAATCACACAGATACAAATTCAGAAATCGTATTATTAATTCTTAACCCAGGAAATATACAAGATCTCTTATTAGATGCTATTACAACCTAGTGGTGGCAAAAATAACTTTAAACTATTATAAGGATGAGCACTTATAAACTAGACTAAAGTGGGACTGGCTTTTTTTTGTTTGTTTGGGTTTTTTTGGGGTTTTTTTTGCAAGGATATTTCTTATGTGTCAGATCTGGTTGGTTTACTATCATTGTTCAGCACTCCATAAAACAGCACTTCTAGTGAACTCTAAGTAGTTCTAGTCTTGTAGGGGGTGAATGTGGTTTCCTTCAGTCGATTTGAAGACAGAGATATGAGCTGGAAAATTAAAGAAAACTATCAAGATAGAGAGAGCTCTGTTGCTTGTGGGGGTTCTTCCCTTTTTTCCTTTATGCAACTGTGTCTGTTCTCTGCTCCTCCTGTTTTATCAGTGACCAGTTTATCACGTGTCCCATCATAAACATGGCAAGTCACTGGGCTGCTGCCTCTCGAGGAAATGTCTTCATGTACCACGTACCTGAGAGCCCCTCACAGAGCAGGTAAGGAGATGGATTTCATTATGTTTCTTGGATTTAGAGTTTGTAAAACCAGGGCTGACTGCTTGGGCATGCTGTGGAATAAATGAATAGATGTAGGTATGTCAAATAAATGGTTCAGATGAGCAAAGGAGGGATTGGTCTCTAATAAGTTCTTTAACTATACAGGAATGCTTTTTCTGAATTGAGGCACTTCCCATTAGATGTCTAAATTGAGTTTCCCCTTTCCAACTTGCCTACCTTGACCAGTTCCAAAGTTAGCCCTTCAGATTCCTACTCTGCATCTGATAAACATCCCACAAAGAATCAGAATGGGGTCCAAGTCACCAGGGTCCACGGCTCTCAAGATAAATGTGGTATCATTTTCTAATTACTCAACATTAATTCAACACTGCCCTTTTTGAGGTCAGTGCAGTTGTACCCCAGTTGTACTGACTTGCTTTCAGTGTGGATGAGCTCAGGGATTTATTCCTTCCTGCTCCAGCACTGACTGGTGTTCTGCTGACAGACTGTCTCAAGGGAAGAAAAATATTTTTGCACACAAGCATTGGTGGACTCAGGCTCTGTGTCATCCTTCATTTTAGAAGCTGACTTGAAAGATTGTCAGCAGGACAAGCTGTATTATATTTTAGGCAGAATGGCCTAAGTGGCTGAGGGAGATGCAATGTCTTGTCAGGCACAGAACAATCTGTTAGGCCGAGGCCTTTAAGGCGACCTTCCCTGGCTTTATTTTAGACCAGCCCTTCGCAGAAGTCAGGAAGAGGTGCTGATGTTTGCAGGCAGTGGTCAGCACTTTGGGCTGCCCTGTGACTCACCAGAGTGGCTCCTGCTCTCAAAGGTTTAGTGACCAGAAACTGCAGTGACCGTCGCTCCTTCTGATCCCTGAATCCACACTCCAGGGCAGGGAAGCACACATAAGGGATGCTTATCCTCATCTGTTTCCTTATGAGGCAGCCGTGCTTGCTCCCTGCCCTCTGGACTGCCCCTCACCTCACTCCAGGAAGGCTTTTTGAGACCTTTTCCTTGTTCTCAGGCTTCCTCCAAAAGGGCTCAGGGGAGGGATGGTGGGTTCCTACTGGCACCATTTCATCCTGTGAAGTTCCCTGCAAACTGCACGGGTTTTTTCCCTTCCTGATAGCACAGTGAAAAAGCATTTGAAAGAAGCCAGCCCAGATCTAGGTTACAGATGAAGGCCATTATGCTGTGGTAACACAGGCTTGCTTTCTTTCTAACTGAGAAGTTAATCCTCAGGGAGCTGTTATTTCTCTGGCAGCTCCAGCGGGAATGTTCACAGTGTTCCATTTGGCTACTGATAGGCCCAGATAAGTGATTTTTACAAGGCTCCAAACAGGGCTCAGCTATGGTATGCCAAAAATCCAGCAGCACAAAAAGAAAAGCTGTGTTCTCAAATGATCTAGCAAGTTTTCTCTTGCTTTGGAGAATGATAGTGGCCCAGCCATCTATGATTAGATCTTATTTGTAGGTAGATTAAATAGTGCTTATACAGCTTAGACTCACTGGCTTTGAGGCAGTGATTTTGAATTGATAAGAATTTTCTCTTCTATCAAGCCCTATTTAAGATTTCTCTTGTACTCATGTTATTTAGCTCTCCTCACACTCTTCCACTCAGCAATAGTTTACATAGCATGTAGCTACATATTTTAATCATATTTATGTTGACACTGGTGTTCTAGGCTAATTATTTTAACTTTAGTGCAAAAGTTATTGGTTTGCTTTTTCATAACCCTCTTTAAAAGAACAAACAAAGCCAAAAAGCTGTCTGAAAGTTGCAGGAACGTGAGGTAGAGGCTCAATTGCCTTAAGTTAAGCTCCTTGCATGGAGAAATCACCCAACTTGGCATGCTGCATGGCATTCTTGCTCCTTTTGTCTTTATCCTTAAGTGCCATTAAAATAAATGCTATTTAGGTAAAGCAAGCACTTTAACAGAAGTTGCAGCATCCAGCTTGTCTGTTTATGAGAGGATCTCATTTGGCACTACAAGGTGTCTATTTATGAAGTGAAACTCTTGTTTTCCCAAGGGACCCCTCACTGAGTCCTCTGCTGAATATACTGCAAGTATTTTGTTTAAATATTATCATTCATTCATTCATTCATTCATTCATTCATTCAGTCATTCATTACTAAATGAATCTTCCTTTATTCTTCATCCCACTTTTGCCATGTCACCTTCTCTACAGCATTCCCTTCTCCATGCAGTGTAGGTGCATTGCAGCCCCACTCACACCAGTGCTGTGATGCTGTTGAGGGAAAGAGCTTCAAATGGGAGAGTGGTTTTGACTCCTGAAAATGGGAAACCATCAAGAATCTGGAACCAGTAAAACAGTTCTTGGGAATGTTATCGGCTATTTATCTTACCAGACTAAAACCAATAAATCCATAAAACCAATTTTATCCATGAAACAGCCTTCGAGTAGAATATATAAGCTTATCTTGGGGAAAGATCTGGTAACCATGTCCCCACTTTCCAAGAGACTTCTGTAACCACTGGAACTGAGATCTGACAGTTCTCAGGTTCTTTGAAAACTGTGACTCCTAGAGGGGGGAGCAGAGGTGTGTACTCTCTCAGATAATCTACAGCTTAGGCTGGAAGGCAGGACTTGTGGACTTGCTCAGCAGAAATGAGGATTGAACCCTGTAAACATTCTATTAAAGGCCTGAATGGAATAACCCTGTTACAGCCATTTCTTTGTGTTAATGAATGCAGTAGCCAAAGTATGACTCGCACACAGGAGTCATGTACAGGGTATTATGTGAGTGCACACACTAAATCTGATCCCCCCTCGTGCTTTGTAGCTGGAGGAAAACCTCATTAGACATTCCTGATCACTTGTAGGCTTTTCATAGAATAATTTCTCAACTAGTTTGCTGAGATATAAACCTTCCTTTGTAAAAAGGGGAATTTTTGTAGTATCATGTCCATAACATGAATAACATAAAAGATAAAATAATGAGGTGTTTTTTTTTACTTTGGTGCTTATATTGTTCCTAAGAAGTCAGTTTACACAGGAGATGGACCTTCTGTCTTTGTGTTTGCAATCTGTATCATAAAGATGATAATAATATAATTATATCTAATCTATAATAACTGCTAATTGCTACTCCACAGGAGTATTGGAAAGAGTACATTAAAATAATGTTCAGATAACTACAACAGTGGAAGACTATTTATTCTTGGACAAAATATTCTGTCTGAGGAAATAGCCATTCACTAATTAGATAAGGCACCATATAGCAATACATTCTTCAATTTCTGCTTTGTCACCTCTCCCACTTTATGTGTCTCCCAAAGTGCGTAACAGAAAAGAGTTAAAATGCAGGGATGAAAAAGTACTGATATTTCCTCTTGTTTCACTTAATAACTAACAGCAAGATAAACAAGAGGGAGGGAGAAGTCAACAAGTAAAGACAGACTCAACCACAATGATGCAAAGTAGACAAAAATTATTACAGGGAGGAATTTTTGCCAGTAAAAGTCAACTAGCCAAAGTTTGTCTCTCAGCTGGATGTTTCTAAAATGTATACACATACACACACATTCAAGCATGTGTAGGGTTAAAAAGTCTGCTCTAAGTTGATGCCTATGACATATGTGGAAAATCACATAAAACCATGAACTGACAGTTTTTGTATAGATGAATGGATCTTGCAGAGAGAAGAATAATGTCTCCTTCCACGTGGTAGCATTCTCCTGAGCTTGGCATGACACCATGTCTGCTTTAGTCTTCAGTTCCCATTTGAATGAGGAGCCAACTCCCACATTAATAATCTGTGGTAAAAATATATACATGACCCAGCTGCCATTTTCTCACTCCCTCTTTGAGAACACTTAGGCCTTGGAGTAAACATTTATTCCAAACAATGCAGGAGGAATGTGACTGCTCAGCACTGCCTAGGATTAGCGGGGACGACTGGAGGGTAGCTTTAGGTATGGTAAAGAAATGTGTGATAGGAGAAGTATGTTTTGACAAGGATAATATTATTAACTGTACAAAGATTTGCCTTGTTAACCCTTCAAGAGATTTCTGGGTTATTTTTGCATAATATATTGAAGAAGCACTGCTTGCCATGCCAGCACAGTTTCCAAGTCACATTGTGGTGCCAGAAGTTCTGTCTTAAAGATGGTGGTTAAAATTCAGTACTCTGCCCAATGAAGGGGGCTGATCATCAGCAGCAGCAGGATGGAAAACATCAAACTGAGACTTAATGAGGCTTTATCTTCTAGTCATTAACATGACCATAGTAATCATCATAAAAAAACTTTTCTTAATTTTGCATGGGAGATTCACCCAAGGTTAATGAGGTGCTGACCTTTTTGAGTCATTTTGGTTGGGGCTGTCTTTACCTCCTGACTGCACTCTGGAGTACATTGGTGTGAGTTGTTAAAAGGCTGCTGTGTGCCAAGGCTCACATAGTTGGCTGGGTTTCGGTGACACTTCTTAAGAAGGCAAGAACTCCTGACTGATAAAACAAAAAATGTTTGTGTATAAACCCATTCAACTATGTGAAGTATTCTTGATTTCTATTTATTATGGATGCTGCAGGAATTCTGGCTATACTTAATATCTCTTTAATTTAAGGAGATTTTTCCACTCTTTTCATTTCACCACAATTATATCATTTGTCCTTTAATCCATCTACCACTTGCTGTCCACTTGATGTTCTCCTCCTGTTTCTAGCTGTTACTCCATGAGTACCAACACCTCACAGCTTGGGGACACCGTCTAAACTGGGTGCTGTGCAGGCAGACAGGAGGTTGCTTCTGGGCTTCAAATAAATGATCTAAAAACAGAAGGCAAACAAATTACCAGTGGGGTGGTGACAAGATGGATGTTGCTGTGTAGCTGGGCAAGCACCACAATTGCCCTAGGTAGTTATGTCCACTTGCTGCAACAACAGCTTGTCATTGTGCATCTATCCCTGTCTCCACTCCCAGTTATCTCCTAAAAGTTGTTGTTTTGGAAGTGCCTCTCATTCCTTTGGCCTTATCCATTGCTTTGTGCCAGATGCAGCTATGAAAACACTGTCCCACTCATACAGCCACATCATGCCATTCTCAACTCTTTGCAAAATTTCTCTGCTTCTAAAGGCTTGGGATCTGGACAATTTGTTTTTTATTCCTGTGAAGTAGTTTAGAGGCCTTTGTAATTCAGTAGATTTTCCAGATCTATTAAATTAGCAATAAATATGCAAAGGCAAAGCAGCCAGCTCAGAAAAAACAGAAAACATCTTTAAAAGAACCAAAATTCATCTGAAAGATACAGGAAAGGACAAAGCAATTTTGGAGTTGCATGTGCTGCACTTGCAGTTCCCATCAAATGTAATCTACAGGATAAGCATAAAATTGATGTATATTGAGCACTATGTTTTCCTTGGTGCTCTGGGGTCTTTAGATCACATATCACCTTTTGTCTGGAAATTCATCCATTCATTCAGCTTAAGAGTAGCCATACTGAACAAATACATGAATTTCTCTCTCCCAAATGTTCAATTAAGTGTAAGCATACCTATTACTAGATCTTAAATACAGTAATTCCCTGACAGATTTGTGCAATCTATGTTCTTTAGGAGTTCTGACAAGTTGACAAAAGTGCTTTCTTTCTTTCTTTCTTTCTTTCTTTCTTTCTTTCTTTCTTTCTTTCTTTCTTTCTTTCTTTCTTTCTTTCTTTCTTTCTTTCTTTNTTTCTTTCTTTCTTTCTTTCTTTCTTTCTTTCTTTCTTTCTTTCTTTCTTTCTTTCTTTCTTTCTTTCTTTCTTTCTTTCTTTCTTTCTTTCTTTTCTTTCTTTTCTTTCTTCCTGCCTTAAGATCCATGATTTTTTTTTCAATTAGTGTGAGCTTTCAGGCTCTTGAATTTAATATCTGCTATTTCAGTTTTATTTTCTTTAATTGGAACAGCTATAATGCAAAGTGGAACATTGTGTGTGTTGGGAGTAATTCAAATGGAAAAGACACAGCAAACTCTAGAATACTTTTGCAAGTCCCATGTATCTATAGGGCTTTTTTGGTACAAAGGTGGATAAACTTGGCAGTTTAATCCTGTTAGGAGTTAAGCTTTTTCCATATGTCCTGATTTTCCTGAAAAGAAGAAAGCAAAAATGTTCATCTGTTTTTCACATCCTTTCCCTCATTTGTTTGGCAGGAGCTCATAATGAGAGGAGACAGAGTGAGCCAAATGCATCCCTAGAACTGCAGAGGTCACACCAGGCCTCACATTGGCTCACTGAATTGCTATAAATATCCAGCTATTCTTTGATTATTTTTTTCTCCCTGCAATCACATACCATTTCCTTTCATAAAATGTGTGGCTGTATATAATTTTTAAAATTATTTTTGCTTGGCATACAAATGAACATTTCAGTTCAGGCAAAGTGCAGGGTTGGTAGGCTGCTCCTCTCCCATGGCATGGATGAGACAATGGCTCTTCAGCATACTGGATATACAAAAATATTCTGGAAAAATCTGCTAGTATTAATGTGAAGATAATGAAGATGGATGCAAATAAGCACATTTAATATTTCCAATAATTCTCACAAAAAATAACTTTAAATTCATTTACTGAAAATAAACACAGAATGGGGGCAGAAGAACACAAAGTCAGTGGCACAGTTTATGTAAATAATTTTTTCTCCTTGGACAGGCTTGTTATGAAATCCTATTTCAACTCAAATCAGCAGGAGATGTATGAGCAACCTAAGAGTCTGGATTTCATCTGTGCTGTTCAGATCACTCATGTAAAGCATGCAAATAACCTGTTCTCAGCAAAGCCAAGTGACATTGAAGAGGTGGAGGTTTTACTTTCCCAGTGATAGCCATGTCCTTGCCAATGGGATACTGAATAGGGCCTTGATTGTGAGGCTGGGAATTCAAAGCCATGAACTCTTCTTTAACACAAAATCTTTCACAGAATTGTTAGAATGAGCAGTTATTCTCACAAAAGTTGACATTAAAGGATAAATGGTTTCCTTATCTCACCAGTCTGTCGCAGATTGCCAACATCTGCTGTATTTGGTGACTGACATGAGTTTGAGCACAATATTTCTTCTGCATTTCTCAGATGATCACTGGTAATTCTGGCTGAACTCTAGCTAGTTATATTTTTCTCGTTATTTTAAAATTTAAATGATTGAATAGCAGTGGGAAGTTCGGTGCTTTGGTATCACATAGAATATCATTAGAATCTTGAGCTAATTTACGTTGGCTTCTGTCGGTGTGTGGAGATTTAAAAAAGAACCAAAAACTACATTAAGGCAACTAAGAATAGAAAGCTGTGAGTCAAAATGTTTTGAGATTAATTGATATTAGTTGGAATGGAGAGTAAGGACTATTTTTAAATGAAAGGAAAAGGAGAAATATTAGGCTAGAGTAAGTCATTAATCATCAAAATGAGTTTCCAGTATGAAATAATTACCCAGACCTAGAACAAGGACAAGGTTCAAAATGATCCATGTCCTAATTTACTATGGATTGCACTGTGAGGTCCCTGCAGCCCCAGCTCTGAGTTATGCTTTCAGTCCTAACATAGCACAGTAGTCTGACAGATCATATTCTTCTGTTCTGACTGCCCTCATTATGGATTGCCAGTCATGGCCATTCCATTTTGCAAACAAAATTTTTGAATTGAGGTGGCGATGGTGAGGCAGTTTGGTTTGGGTTTTTTTGTCTGGTTTTATTTGCTAGTTGTTGATTTGGCTTGAGTTTTTTTTCTGTTCCAAAGATTATGATTAAAATGTTAACTTCGGCTCTTGGACATGGGCGCTTATATCTGTGCTCTGTTTGATTTGGAACCAGAATTTAAACCAAATCAACCATAACCAGAGTGGTTTTGTTCTAAACTCTGATCTACTCATCTTTTACTCTTCCCTGTTGAAGCTGTCCTTTGTGTGAAAGTAGCCATGACTCTATAGAGAGAGAAGTGGAGTATCTGATGGCTGAGTAATCTTTTTTCTGTCTTTCCTACTTGGAAATTTAAATGGAAAATCCATCTTAGGTTTAAGGAAAATTTTATCTGAACCTATACTTCCCACTTAAATGGCTTGGCATTGGATAATAAAAATTTCCAGTAAATGATATTTCAGGGTCTGCTGTTAAATCATTGGTTATGAATGTCACAAAGTTTCTGATTTTACCATCTATTTTTCTGTACACTGGACTCCAGTAGCACCTCCTTCTGAGGTGAAGTAAGAATTCCCCATGGAGTGCTCATTTTAGTGTGAAAAAAGTTGTAGGATCTGGCTTCTATCTTCCCCATGGCTTAATTTACTGGTCTGCCAAATAAAAAGAGCTGTGAATCTGTTTTCTAAAATATTAACATCTTAAAAAGCAAAGCTATACAGAGAAGATCTGAAGAGTCACCTTTACACAAAGTACTACTCCTGTAAAGTCACGAAAGCCAAGATTTCATCCTTACACATAATTACATTCACTGCTGTCATTAAAATAACAGATCTGTTCCTTGAAAAGGGACTTCTGTAGAGAAAGTTAGTTGCTCTTTGGTTTCCTTAAAAACCCCTTTTGCCCTTGTCTCTGCAGTCTTCCCATTTGTCAAATTGTCCTCTCAAGTCCAACACTTTTGGGGCCTTCACATCCCCATTTAGAGCTGCTGCTGTTGAGCACATGCTTGGTATCCTGTGAGTGCACTTTGGAGCAGCTCAGGAAATAAAAACCTCCCTTCAGAGTTGGCAGTTTACAACAGCAAAACAATAACTACTTATTTGTTTCTCCTTTCTTTCTCTCACTCTGCTTTTCTTCCAGTGAAAACACTGTCACTACCTGGTGTTACCTTAAGTATGCTCAGAGTTCCTACATGACTCCAAAATCCTTCCTTGGGTATTTCTGGGCATTTTGCACTTCCCTCTGGTCCTTTCTGACCCAAACCATTCTATGGTTCTGTTATTCTACGATTCTGTGATTCTATGATCATGATTGTATGATTAGGGTTTGAGGAAGGAGACAAATATTCTCCTGATATTTTCCATCCAGCTGCCATCTAGATGTTTCCCAGTTGTTTTTCCTGCTCTTCTGTGCATTTTTATATGTGCTTCTTTTCCCTCTTAAGCTTAGCAGGTTTTTTCTCATCCTCATGTTTTCTTTCTCATCAACCAAAAATATTGAAAACAGCTTGTGAAATTGTAAGGTTTTGTACCACTTTATGTCTGTATCAAATCAAGTACAGTCATACAAATCATTCCAAATCAAATAAATTCTCTATTTATGAGATTGCTGAATTTTTAGTCTGGGCTGTGACCACAACAGTTTTCACCTCTAGAAACATGAAGGCTAAGAACATTTGGAGTGAAACCCTCAGTCTCAGCTTACTTGTTTTAGCTTCACAGCTAAGTTCACCTCTGCTACTCAGTCCCTAAATGAGTACATTTGTCTCTTCACTGCACCTCAGCTAATTTCATGTGCTCTAATCTAATCAAAAGTGACTCTTCTTTGCCAAGAAAATTGCCTCTTTAAGTATATTGTACCTTTGCTGCAATACTGACACTAGAAATTGCTGTTATGTACTGGGCCAAGCAAATTATTTTTAAGGCAAAATTATTAAACTATGATCTTGCTTAATCCTTTTATAAATATTTGGGGAAGAAAAATATGCTTTAATGTTGTTTCAGTTCTACATTTTTTTGGTGAATAATCTGTGAATAATTCACTTTCCAGATGCAAAGTATTACTGAGGTATTATGATAAGACTAAGGAAAACACAACCCAAGATGTATTTCATTTAGAGGGCTGTGTGCTTTTCAAAATAGAGGCTTTGGTGCCACCACTCGTAAAATGTAAAGCAGTCATCTTGCTTTTAGACTACCTGCCCATAATGGTGGTGGAACACTCCTTGTTCCATTGGAGGCAGTATCAGGCAGTACCAGTGCTGCTGCATTTCATGTCCAAAGATAAAATAGTTTCAGTTGTGCTACCTTTTGACAAATGCCACTGCAGATGAAATCTTGTTGAGTGGATCTGGGATTTGTTTATTCTTGCCTCACAGACATCTGTTCCTTGTCCCAGGTCCCCTGATGCTGTCTCCCTTCATGCAGCATTAACCAAGTCAATAAGACCTTTGTCCAAATGGGGATATGGAAAATGCAGTTGGACAGGACAGAAATATCTCCTCCTGAGTGGTTCAAAGCTATGTGTAGAACATAGTTTAGTTATAATTTTATTAGTAGAAGTTGGCCTGCTTTTCTGGACTTGAAAATGTTGAGGTGTGTAACCTTTGCAGTTAGGTCCTGCAAGTCTCACCTGGCCAGTCTTGGCTCTGAATTGCTGAAATATTCCTTATAATAAGTGCTATGTGGAACTACACAGCAGTTGTTCTTTCTTAAATCTGATCTAGGTGATTATCTCAAGCTGTTTTGACTTATCTGCCATATAAAACCAGAGGAGAACAGAGTGTATGAACCAAAACCACCCAGCCAGCAGAGAAATTAGATTAAAACTATGTCTAAGAGAAATCTTCATAAACATCTCCTGTTACATCTTTTCTTATCCAGAATCCTGGCCCACAATGAAGTCAATGGAAAAACTCCAGTTGCTGCTAAGAAAGGCCAGAATTTGATTCCAAGTCTGTGAAATAAGCCATAATTAACCTTCCGTTGTGGCTGCCAGCATCCATGTCACCACTTGCTTCTACTTTCTGAATTTAATTTTAGTCCAAATCTGTCCAAAACTTAAGAGGCATTTGAGGAATAGCCAAGTGACTTTCTCCCTCTATCACTCTCTCTTATACACCCAATTAATTTAGAAAATGTGCCCTAGCACCTTCTACAATTTTCTTTTGTAACAAATGTTAAAGACCCCGCACTAACATAATGGAAAATTCTCCTTGTTATTGCTTGTTCTTCTTTTATGTTTTGGATTGAAAAAGTCCCACAGCTCACCACACTAATTAATGGTCATTAATTATTTACAAACTTTCTTTATTCTCTGAATTAATTTATTTCCCTTTCCCCCACAAATAAATAAATGATGGTTTTAATTATCTTTCTATAAATATTTGGTTTAGCTCAGGTCAGGAGTTCCTGTTGGATGTTCAGTATGCATTTGGTCTACCCTTTTACCCGAAGTATGAAGTACAATTTACTGAGGAAGAAAAGGACCTTTCGTTGAAAATTATGCAGTATATCTCCAATTTCATAAACTCTGGGTAAGTGTGGGATATTTAAGAATTGCTGTGTCTGAGGAGATGGTGAGAAGTAGAGGGAGTGTAGTCAGCCCAGACCCTGCCCTCACTTAATCATTCTCTATTTCTTTTACAGTCTGTAAATCTACAGTGGGATTTGATCCACACTGTTGGAAAGTCATGGCCAAATTGCCAAGCAGAGAAGCCACCAAAGGTTTATAGTAGAGACTTAGCTAGGAGGAATAGATATTTTATCTCCCTTGACCAGCTGCAAATTCTACTAAAGTACATGTGGGCTTCAAAGGCCTTGGTGTTGCCTCCAGAGCTTAGTTCTAGGACCCCAATTCTGAAACCTCTTGGCTAAGAGTTCTCTTTTTCCCATAAGAAAAGGGAAGGCACAAGAAGACACAGTATACCCTTTACCAACTATTCTGTGAACATCATTCTGTGCTACTGTGCTGTGGCCATGCTTGAGAATGAGGAGTATCTCTGGAAACCTAGTATGGGAATGGTGGGAACAGGGACTTAATGTGCTTTTTACAGTATCTTGGGTTGGGTTGGGTTTATGAACATCCTCAATAGCCCTCAATCCCAGCCCATAAGCCTGTGTCTATACAGCTTGTGTCTGTCTGTGTACCTGTTCCTTAGGAAGTGAACCAAACTGAAAGGGTACTGTCAGATGAGGCACCATGAATGATTCACCAGTCTGGACTGAATTTGACCCCTGCTGGTCAGAGGGACTGAATACATATTTTTCTGACCTAGCCAATCTTCTTATCATTTTACTGTTCATGTCATTCTTTTCTAATGATAATGTCTCCCACTCCCTTAGAAATCCAAACTACCTGCACAGTTTCTCGAGAAGAATGTTGGGGGTGATGCCTGCCTGGCCCATGTATCTGTCAAGTGATGATGGTGATAACTACAAGGAATTCACTGTTTCTTTGCCGACTCTTAAAGGACTGAAAAAAGCAGACTGTTCCTTTTGGTCTGATTATATCAGAAGGCTGAAAGCATCCACAGGTGAGAAGAGTGTTTTCTGACATTAAATAAAGCCTAAATTTTCTGCTAAATGTTTTCAGCGACTGTAGTGCTGTTACATCACTGTGGAAAAGCACTTTTCACAAATTAAACATCTTGCAGTGTCCAGGGTATATAGTTAAGAATGTAACACTAAATAAATTTACTTTCTAGTATATAATGTGTAATAAAATTTAATTGTCCTGGAGTTTAACCAGCCAGAGAAGTCTTCTTGTGTGATGATAGAAGATGTGGCAAAGCCATATAGAGAGCTTCCTCCCTATTTACAGTCGTAATATAGACTCTAGGTAAACTGGAAGGCTGTGTATACAGCTTCTTTTGCCTGCTGGAAGCACCTAACATGAGAATGTTGAGACTCCTATGGCTTAGGAGGAGCAGAAATCATTGCCAGCCACTGTAAAGTTGCAGCTGAGGCTTTGTATGTTACTATGATTCCTACAGGCTTTAACTTCTCACTAGATTAGTTCCTGTGACTTTTTGTACAGCTGTGGTGATTATGCCGCTTACATGTCTCCTTTTATATTTGCCATAAATTTCAATGCAGCTATGAGAGCCCTTCAATTTTTTTCTTACTGCTTAAAACAGTAAAACCAATTCTGCTTAGATTTCAATCTGCTGCCTGTCCTGAATTTATTCTAGTAAATAAACTCCCCTTCATATCTGTGTATCTTGTAAAGAAATATGGATAGCCTCAAGCAAAGCAAACAAAACCATCCCTTTTTGGCAGGCAGAGATGTTTTGAATTGTTCTTGGAGGCCTGCAAGTTTGCATGTGTTTTTTATGTCCTAAGGATTCATCTTCATAGTGAACACAATTCAGGCTCTCTCTGCTTTGCTCAGTTGAATTTCTGAGAATAAAATGTAATTTTCAAGACACCAAGCTACCCAGGCTATCTATGCCTGACACAAGACCTCAAATGGGCTGAGGCTGATGTTTGAGTGACACGAAACTACAATGTCTCAGAACCATCAAGCTGGGGGTTCTAATGAAAACACAGAGCATCAATTCTCTCATTCAATAGACAGTCTCAATCTTTTCTCATGGACTTTCTACCAAAATGGAGTCAAGATTTTGTTGTCAGCCTTTTCATCAGTTTCCTGGTATCCCTCAATGTCTTTCAAGTTCAGAGGGGATACTTTGATCTCTCCAATGGCTTTGTGCTGATTGAGATATTGCTAATTATCACAGCTTTATTCTGATAAACAGTCCTGGCAATAACTTCTGGATCTTTTTGGACCTCATTAGAGCACTGTGGCTGTGTAATGCCAGACTGGGCTGAAGTCACAGCTCTGGTACAATGACTGCTGACCAAGCACCATGGACAGAGACTGTTCCTACCACCTATGGAAATTCCCCCCAAAAGGGGGAAAATATTCACCAGGACATATTGGTTTTGACATAGACAAGATTTAAAACTATCCAAACTGGCACAGGAACACAAAATTCCTGTATAGGTTAGTCCAATGATCTGTCTAGCTCAATATTCTGCTCTTGTCCATGGCCAAAGCCAAATACTTGAATGTTAAACAAAAATACAGGGAGGGAGAGATGAACACACTTAAAGAACTCACAAAGTTGAGTAAAATTTTTGAAAATAAGCCATAAAGTGTGAAATTTATGGAGTATGGATTGTCAAGAAAAGGTTTAAAAAGTACATATCAAAAGTACATGTTAATCTTCAAGCAGAACTGAGTACACGCAGCTGGCTCTTTAAGCCAGTGTTTGCTTGGCCTCAGCACCATGGTAATGCAGTTATACAGCTGATTTCTGTTAAATTCCATCTCACAAAAATGTTGGCTTGACACTTTGTTTTGATAGGCATTTTTAATCTGTTCTCTTTCTTGAATACTAAACTTTCTCATACAACTTAAATAGGCATCACATCAAACCCTTTTCTATTACAGACCTCTTAGCCTGGGATGGTAACTTATAGATCCTGCGAGTCTCTTGATAACAATCTGAGCCCAGGTTCTAATAAAAAAAGATTCTAATGATCATCAAGTCAGTTAGAAAGACTACACAAAACTCAGATGGTGATGGCTGAGCATCCTTAATTTATTTTTGAGAGTGTGTTGTGCTGAAATTCATGCCAAAGCAGTGTCAGTCCACTTGTACAAGTTCACCACTTGCATCACATGCATTTCTCCCAAAAATCAGATTCTGCAAGAACTGAATCAATATGCATCATGATGTATGTCCTTGCACCTGAGGTAGTTTGCTGTAGCTCCCTTCAGAACTGAAGCACTGCACCTCTGTGTTCTCTGACTGCTCCTGGAGTGCTGTCAGGCTGTCCTGTGGGACCTTGGCATGTGCTGAACACCACATTTGAGAGAACAATGCTGAAAACCATTTTTGGATGTTGTACCTTGTACTACTTCCTGAGGTGCATCTATTTCTCTGTCAGCTACCCTGAGATCCAATCTTACAGTTTTCTGCCTTTCAAAAATTATCAATGTTCATGATAGTGTTCTTGTATTGTATTGGGGGTTGCAATTTGTGGCCTCATGCCAAGCAGATGGAATTTACAAGTGTGCCAGTGAGAAGAACAGATAATGAAACATTCCAGTCTTCACACCTAAGTATAAAGGTGTACAGGGTCTAGCATGATGCAATCTCAACCAGCTGTGATGAATCCTGTTATGTTCATCTCATCTTTTCCTTGAAATCAATACTTTCCAGCCCCATATACCATCTGGAATCTATAAGAAAAAAAATCCTCAATATATTTAAATAAAATGGGGAAGAACTGGACAAACCAATGATCATAAAATATAACTTGAACTGGCATTTTAAAGATTTTTCTTGATTCTTTGTATACTGCCATGGGAAATGTCTTGACTTGGAAATGTCAAATTAGGGATGACTAAAGGCTCAAAGCTCAATATCTTCGTCCAAAAGTAAACTGAGATATTCCTTGCTGTGGTTTAAGCTAAACTCATAAATTTCAGCTTCTGGAATAAAATCTCTCATATTAAAAATCTGAGATGTCTTTTAGGTTATTCACTGCTGGATCTAGAAGCTGTTTTTTATCTTAACTGTTACCTGTAATTTTCTTTCCATTTAGTAAAAAAAAATTGTCCAAGTTGGTATTTAATTTTGTGATCAGACCAAAATATTTAATGACAGAATGTATCATTTGTCCCTGGCACATAAATGGAATGTATGTTGTTGCATTTGAAGATAATTCTTTAAAATCCATGTAATAAATGCAATGATTCATCATAATGGTTGCTGGCAGTGCCATTACAAGCTATGGAGGGAACTAGGAATCTGTTTCCTTGCAGATAAACTAATAATCTCTTGAAATTTTATTTGAGACCAGTTTCTAAAGTTGACATTTTAGGGAGCAGTTTGCTTGGGGAATTATGAAAGTGGTGGTGCTTGAAGAGGTTTGGAGTTCCCATGGTTGCATTTCAAAGACATGTTTAGTATTTTGAATTATGACGGTTACCATAGGAAACATCAAAATGAGAAACAAGAAGAGTGGCAGTTGTGGAAAAAAGGAGCTGTGGATGGTTTTTTCCAGGGAATGTGTTAGTAACTTGAAATTCAGTTAAAAATTCAGTTAAAAACAGGAGCTCCAGAATGTTTATGTATATTCAGACAGATGTGTGAATGCTAACATTCACCTTACATAGTGGGGGGGACTGTGTGTCCAACAGTAAGTCCCTTTATAAGGAGCCTCTCACTGCATCCCAAACAGGTGGAGTTGGATCCAGTCAACATCTCTTACTCCTCTAGCTGGTATCTAAACAGAACCAATCCTCCTAAAGTAAGTGTCTCTGTAAGCAGTCTTGCAGCTGGGGAGAAAGAGATACCTTTACTGTCTCACAATGAAATCTTGTCTGTCCAATTCGTGTGCCTAAATTTTGACTTTTAGGCATATTTTTCATGCCCAAGTTAGCCAGATTGGACTTTATCTGTAGAAAATTCAACAAGTAGCAAACCTGGAACCTTCTCCATGAACTCTGGGATGCCATGTGTAGCCAAACAAGAGTCCAAATAAAGAAAGAGTGTTAAGACTTCAGACTTGAATCAGGAATGTTGTGGTTAGCATTCAACTTTTATCCTTTCTAGTCACACCTTCTTTTTGAAAATATCAAATAGAAAACATTCCTTTGTATGAGGGACATCTGTGCAGCAGTGAGAGCACTCTGGCTATGAGACATTAAATAAACACCCTCAGTACATTTTCTTGTCATAGCTGGGTGGTGTTGAGGCAACTGCATCACTGAAATATGGTTGAAGACATAGAAGGTAAAAGATAACAAAGAAAAGATTTGTTGGAGGTGGGTGCTTGAGGCTTTTTTATATTACAATTTTTTACATTTATATTTACAGACAAACAAAATATTAATGTTGCCCACACTTCCTACCTGGCAGGGAATTTTCAGGAGATAATAGAAAAATAAAGTCTTCCATGAGTGGAGAAAAACGTATTATGTATTCTAATGACAGTTATTTAAAGGACAATTCTTAATTACCATGAGGTGATCTGCCATTACTCTAAAGCAAATGGATTGCCAACTGAGAAAAACAGTTTTCTGAACATTTATAGCTGCATAAAAGGTTTTTAGTTGTGATTGACAAAATGTGTACCTTGTAGCTGGCTGCCTCAGGTATATGACATCTATTTTAATCTTAATTGTATTGTCTTTTCAGGAAGTGCAAGTGGTGGAGATCTATCTGCAGAAAACAGTTCTGGTGAAACTCCAAGTGAAGCTCCCTCCCTGGAGAGCCAGCCCCTGGGGGATGAGGTGGCTTACAGCAGATAGGGAATCACAGGGCTGTGGGGTGGCTTTGTCACACAATTGTACATCCACACAACCATCTCACACCAGACGAGCAACACTTCCTTTAGTTAACTTTCTCAACAAATAAAATAAACTTTTCAATAAAGTAGTTTTCAAGGAAATTGATTTATATGGCACAAAATAAGCACTACAGCTATTGTTTTAAACCAAAAGAGATTGTAATTTGAAAAAAATAAAGTATAAATGAA